AAAATAAATAATTAAATATCAATATAACTTTTCATCATAATTATAATATAATACAATTGAACATAATCACAATTATAATTATAATCATACCATCTTACAATAATTTTAAACACACCATAATCTAACAAACAAAATAATTGGACAAGAAAAAATTGTTAGGAATTTGCTAATTTCAAGTAGCAACCATACAAAAAAAGGATCGAACCCAATTGAACAAAGAGGCCAGCCGATTTTCCTCACGGTAAATACAATTAGGATATATTCTTCTTCTCCTTTCGTTGATCTTAATCGAGGCTTCTCCATTTTAACTTGCTTGGAAATGTTTCGGATGGTTCTAACGTTGCGAGCGGTGAGATGAAAGGGAAAATGGGGTTGATTTCAGGCGACGAAGCAAAACTAAAAAACTAGGGATCAATTTATGTTGATTTCTTCTGTGCCAACCATTAGATTCATTGCGCGATGACGAGGAATGTAGATGGAGAGCAAATGAGGGGAAAAAGTTTGTTGGTCGCAGGTTGAAGAAGAAGGTTGTTTAAGGGCAAAATCGTGCAATTTTAATTTTATAATTAATTTTTATATTTTATTAATATTAATATGCGCTTCTGTTTTTTAACAGAGTTTACATGTTGGTGGGATTTTTAAACCCAAATCCGATAAAAAAATACATTAGGTAAAAAACAATCACTTGTTCTACTCAAGTTTTTCATCTCAATTTATATGAATACATTTATTAAAATTACATGTCACATCTAATATTTACTTGAGATGCCATGTCATCATTTTCTTTTAGGGTTGGATTTTTCATGTTATTTATTTAAGGGAAAATATAGGCAATATTGTTAACGAACGGCTCATATAAGCGAAAAAGATAATGGAAGCACTGAAAAAAACTAAAACTTTAAAGATTAGAATATAAAATTTTAAAGTATAGGGATAAAAAAGGAACTTAGGATTAAATTGAGATTTTAACAAAAAATATATATATATGATAGAGCACATCGATTACCACGAACGGAATCAAGGGCATCCAAGGAAAGGTGATAGGGACCACCTATCCATCTTTGAATATGTTAAAAGGTTTTTTCGTTAATTTCCTTTATATTAATTTTTTTAGTATTCAATAATCACATCATATTTTAGTTAATTTGAAATCGAATTACAGGTGAATCTCATTAAAAAAAAAGTGTTTTCAATATATATTTTTTTATTCATAAAATTTAAATTTAATACTTTATTTAAAAATAATTAAGTTTTTTCCAACCGAAACCAATAAGTTTAGGTTTCATCATTAATTGTGCATGTGCAATATTATCTTAAGCACCGCAAAATATCACATCAACTTTAAAATTAACTTATCTCCTTTTTCACAAACTTTAAAATTAACTTCAAACCATATTGCCCAGAAGGAACGTTCAATAAACGCTAAAAATATGATGTTCATCACAAATGTTATTGGAGTTCTCTTTGATTTTCTTAGCATCCAAACTATCATACACAGTAATAAAAAGACTAACTTACATACAAAATGAAAAACAGAATACATTTTGTTAAAATTTTGTAACATATACTATACAAAAAGTTGTTAAGTTCTATAATTAAATTTTGTTAAAATTTAATTTAAAAAATAATATAATTATAATATCATGAGTTATTATAATTTTATAATTATAATATGTCATTATATAATTAATTTATTTTATTCCACTTTAATACGATAAGCATTCACACATTTAATAATTAAAATTTTATTAGGCTTGTTAACAAATTGAGTAGAGTTGAATACTTAGGTACTCGTGCTCCAATTTACCTCAAAAATTTGAGTTTAAGTCAAATTTGAGTATTTGTTAAACTCAAAATAATTTTGTTCATGCTTAGTTTGAATTTGAATTTTTTTCTTGTAATTTTAAAAATTTTTAATAACTAATTATTTAAGCATAAATATTTTTACATTTTTAAAAAATATTGTAATATCAAAAGCTTAAACATATTAAACATTAAATCCAATAATAAAAAACAATCATAGACTTTATTTTAATATTTTTATTAATAATTATAACTCAAAATATATAATTTATTTAAATTATCTTTTTAACCCTTGTTGAGTTTATAAGTTATTATTTATTTAAATTTAATAAATAAATATATAATATAATTTTTAATTTTAAATGTAGTACTGGCGAGTAATTCACAAGTAACATAAAAGTTTGAGCTCAATCGTTTTATTGAATTTGATATTAAGCTTGAGCTTGACTTATTTTACCAAATGAGTTGAGTTTGAGTCGAGTTTTACTCAAATAGTTTTGATATACTTATTAACTTCTCTATTTGTAAATAACTCTATGTTATAATAACATGTGAATTTATAATTTTATATGATATTATAGTTATAGTATTACTAAATTTTATTAGGCTGTTAATTTTTCTATATTTGGTAAGAAATTAATGTTAAAAAAGTTAGAAATAAGTTGTCACATAGGTCTTATATTGAAAAGGTTAGGAGAGTTTTTGCTTAAGAAATGTGCGAAGAAAAGATTACATTTTCATAATTGTATCAAGAAAAATAAAAGCTAAAAGTTTTAATTTTGCCTTTTATTTGTTATAATATTAAAGTGTGAAAATTCTAACAATATGTTTAAATAAAATTTAATAAATCAAAGGAAAGGGAAGGAAAAAGAACCAATAGGAAAGAATTAGTAGTGTAGCTTTATTTAAATAGATTAACATGAAGAAAGTAGAAGGAAGGAAAAGATTATAATTTTTATTTAATTAAATAAATTAAATAAAATTATTACAAAAAATTAATTAAAATTTTATAATTTTATAATTTTGTATGATATTATAACTATAGTATTGTTAAATTTTATTAGGTTGTTAACTTTTTTACTTGAAATTTTCTAAGGGCACGGATTAAACCTTATTTATTGTAGTATTTGTCATTAATTTTATATAAATTTTTATACAAGATTTAAATAAATAAAATATAATATTTTATCTCAAAATTTATAAAATATTATGATTTTGATGTAAAAATTTGTGTTAAATTAATAAAAAATTTTCTAATTAATGAGTCTTATGCCGAGAAACCCTTTTTATATTTGATAGGAGGTTAATATTGAAAAAGTTAAAGAAAAGTTGTAACATAAATCTTATATGGAAAAGATTGGGAGAGTTTTTGCTTAAGAAACGTGGGAAGAACTCATCAAGAACTGGACAATGCCCCTCGTATTGGGCGCATCGTCCCCCTAACATACTACTTAAGCTGCTTTTGGATGATGTAGCTTCTACTTAATGATATAAATCTTTCGTTTTACATCAAAAAAAAAAAAAAAA